AAATTTATATTGCTATAGATATAATATGTGTAATATGTGTACGTTTGTAATGAGATACTGGCGATAATAATTCAATTTATAATTATTAGGTCTAACAATTTTGCCGAAAAATAATATTACAAAAGAATAGTAAAATCAAATGTAATAAAAAATATAACATGAAAGTATATCATAATAAAGCATAATAATTAGTTGATTATGATTTTAGAACATGAATAAATATAATGATAAATTCAGAAAAAAAGTAAAATGATTATAGCATAGAATACTTAAATAACATTAAAGAAGTTTCTAATTAAATTATGATACTGCAACTACGTGTGAACTATCGTTTCTACATATACCTGCTATCTCGTTTTGGTGACTCGGGATTTGTGTGTGTCGCATTCACATATGCAAATCTATATGTGCGTGCAAACTAACAGCGTGTCCTGGGCCAAACTACGATCAAACATCGCAGAATACTACCCAGGTACAAGATGCTTCTTCTGAACATCAAAATGTTGGCGCCATCCTTGTACACGTGCGAATCTGCATACATACATACAGATTACATATTTCTTCCACACGGCAAGATTTTACATATACCTATAAATATCCTGTAGAAATGCTTGAAAATCGCATTAGATAATAATTTAGTCAATAATTTTGAAAAATGTAAAGCATTGAAGTAATGGTTATCAACTTCGAAAAAACAAAGTCAGAAATTAATCATCGATTTATGACTGACAGAATTTCTCGCCCCTATAAGATTTTTTGAAAAAACAATTTGTCCGTATTATTGCATTTGTACTTATGGATTCGATGGCAATTGAATGATATAAATACACACTCTGTTTATACAGCACTTTGCTGCGCATGACTTGGCGCAAGAAACGAGTATGTCTCTTGACCGATGATATTATAAGAATCAAAAAGATAGATGAAAAGATTATTTTGCAATATCCTCGGTCGATACATACACAATATATAATGTTAAGAGAACTGAAAAAGTCGCATATTTTTCACATTTTTATATTTTCATAGTATAATATAGAAATGTGAATAAATAATGAGTACTTTTCTAGATAAACGACTGATACATTTGCTTTACATTAGATATCTTTCTACATTTTTCCATAAATAATATCGATATTTCAAACAATGTTATTTTATTCATATATCCAATTTATTCTATTTTAAATCAAATAAAGTTAAAAGTTTATCACCATAAACGAAATATGCTATTTTACTCTTTTATTTTTTTTCCCTTACAAAGCACATGATGAGTATTTTAATTTTCGTTTTCCTATGTTCTTTATTTAATATTAAAAGCTCTTTTTTTGTCAATATTATTTTCTTAATTTTAAGATATCTCTGTTTATAGTAAATCGAAATTTAATAAGTCTACATCTTACGATTATGTCATTTCAAATGTTAACATCATCACTTGGAGTATTTAATTATTCGATATGAATTTTTGGAAATATCTATACAAATAACGAATAAGTAAAAAAGAGAATAAGATTCAATAGGATCGGACGTTTATCATCTCGATGTTCGAAGTAGGAGAGGTGTTAATTCACTTCGCTGATTGTTGTCATTGCAAAGTGTGCGAATGCGATTCACGGTCAACATCGTACTACCAGCATTGAGATATTTTAGTCTCGATCGACGATATCTCATCGGTACATTAAGCCGCCTGTCACGATTCGCATTTCATCGTGCATTTCTTAGAAGGTTCCTTATCCGTCTCAATATTGTATTATATATGCAATGTTTACCGTTTAGCACTAGTACTTTCGAGTTACAAATTGGAACTTTTACAAATAAATAAATAAAATAAAAAACTAATAAAAATTTATTTCGGAAAACTGATTATTAATTATTATAGTTTGATTTATTAATTATTATAGTTGTACCGTTTTGTTTCAACTTTTTAATCTTTTTGATAAAAAGGATTGTGCATATTCTCTTATTATACTGATGTCCTAAAAAAATTTCTATAGACTCATTATTCAAAGAAATACCAATTTTGAATTAAACGAAAAATGTATTTGTTATATTAATTATTAAAAGGGATTGTCGAGACATCTAATATTTAAATCATCATCGAACGTAATTTGAACTCTAATTTCCTAAGTACCTAAGTATTCGAGATTGAAGACTTCGACAATTATACCAAGAAACAATCAATATAACTGCATATTCAAGAAATACATAATCGTTGCAACCATAACGAGTAATATATTTAATCGAGATAATCACGTGTCATCTGATGAAAGTTATACCTGCATTTTCAAAAAATACCAATCTTCTACTATCCCGTCAGGCTATCATCGGTATTTTATCGGTTATATTCGGCTCATCCTTGACGGAAATATTCTTCATTGTACACCTTGGCCGGCATTTATTTCTAATAAATATGTTTTCGCCCGCACGCCACCGAGCGAATGTCTGCCATGCATCTATCTAATCTTGCTCTTTACTACGACGATAAAGATTTTTCGTATTCAGCCGGCAATATTTTCACGAAACTTTTAACGTCGCAAAATCCACATTTATATCTCTCTGTAGCGAAATATATATAAAAACAGTTAAAATCTAATAATTTTCTTTTCAAACTCCCGGCTCTTCTTAAATATTAGAAATCCTATTTTCAAATTTAATTGCACTACTCTTATTTCCACATAAATCCACGAGTGATTAAAATAAGATTGCTTGTATTCGTCCGATCACAACAGTATCAAGCCCATCCTACACTGCAAAGAACATTTTTTTCCCGCTCGTGAATCGCTGTCGACAATAAATCGTCATCTCCCACTCGCAGATTCACTTCACTGAATATTTCGTGGAACCTCATGGCGCAACAAAATACCAAAAACAATAAATTTCAATCTGAAAATGCTTGCAGAGGGAACCGGTAGTGCGGGAGGGAGAGACGACAGGGAGAAATTCTCCCCGATGGAAGAGGGACAGAACGAAAGAACCGCGGATCGAAGAGAGGTGCTTTCGGTGAATCGACGGGGAAGGGATTCTCGAGGGCGGCGCCACGTTTGCGCCATGGTATAAAGAGTCCCGGAGGGGAATAAAGAGATGGAAAAAAAGAAGCTCGGTGAGAGTGGCTAACATGGAATAGCCCTTAGCTGGTACGATAGCCGCTCTTTAGGCTGATGGACTCTTGTCCCCTTTTCCCTTTTATCCCCTCACGACGCCACTCTCGTTCTCTTCGCTTGTCACCTCTTGCCTGTGGTCCAACTTTCTACCTTCATCGCACTCTTCCTCTCTTTCTCTCTCTGCATTTCCTCCGCTCGTATCTGCTCTCTTTCCTATTTGCATTTTGTGGGCTTTGCTGTGTGCCTTTATGTACATACGTATACGCATCAGGAATATTAGATTTTGTTTAGCTTAGTCATTATCAAATTTTACCTATGTATATACATATTAAATATTTTTCAGAAATGTCATTAATTTATTCTAAATTTAGTATTATTTAATATTAATATTCACATCTAGTATTAATAATACATAGTAAATTCATAATTTCTTATTAGAATTGAAAGATGTAGAACGTACAATTTTTGTTGATAATGTTGATAATGCTGTTTGAAATAAATGGATTATGATAAAAAAAAAGAAATATACCAGAATGGTACGATTTGATAAGTGATAATAAACTTGTGCGTTTTGTCACTCATACTTATTTATTATACAATTAAGTTGTGCAACACTAATTAAGTAATTTAATTAGCTTTCGATATCTGTTAATTAATAAATTCACATTATTGGGTAATTATTTACAATAAAACAGGCGTTATCTTCACGAGAACTCTTCAGCAAATACTATTTACTAAGATATAATGAATCACTGGACAGCAAAATATTCGCGAGATTATTGTCTTTACTTTATCACGCAGTATCATTGCGAGTAAACTTATACTATTACACATTTTAATTAATGGCGTTTGAATTATAAAAAAAAGATAATGAAAATTTATTGGAAAATTAAAAAGTTACTATTATACGTCTATATCTATAATTTATGATCGAGTCAAGTATATTTGATTTACTTATAACTTTAATAATTTTGTAATATTTGTGACACTGCGAAATGTATCTGAAAACAGTTGTACTTATATAAATATAATGTAAATACTATTCTGCAAAGGGATTTGGGTGTCGTCCTGAAAAAGACTGAACTTTAATTATCCTAAAAAAAAATGATTTGCAAAATATATGTGTATTTACGCTATATATTACTCTTTGGAGAGAAAACTATACATCTATACATATGTATGTATGTATGTATATATATATATATGTATATATAGATATACATATTTCTTTGGATCATGTGGCATAAATGCATATTTACAAAATTAGACAGAATACATGTCATACGTTAAGTACAAATCGCACGATAAACATAGATTAATTATTTGAAGCATCTTGTCGCATTGCCTAAAAATGTATATGTAAAATGTCTTGTATATATCGTATTATCCGTAATATAAAAAATAGTTACGGAAAAACGTAATATGTTAAAAAAAAAGAAACAATCTTTTCCAATATATATCCAGAAAGCAGCAAATTAATTCAAAAAAAATAAATTTTACATTAAATTTAAAAATAAAATTTATATCAAACATATTAAATTAAAGGCTTTTAAAATAAAATTTATATAGTACTTTTTTTTGATGTAACACACATAATCATCTTTTCTTTTCTCTTCTCCGTATTTTCTGGTAGGGAGCGCATCAGTTCAGGCATTCCTGCGACATAGTCTGTAATATCGGTAACGCAGAATTCAAAGAAGAAATCGTAAGAAAGCATTACCGATATTATATCGATTCTAAGAAACATTCGATTATTTTGTAAAAATCGACACGACAAAAAGCTCAAAGGAATAAAAAACAGAATAAGTGCATCGACATTACAATGTGCCACGCTTCTCAAAAGCTGAAATACAGATGATTAAGCAAAATTAATACCTAATAATAAATATAAATAAGCGATAGGAACACAGTTTAAAAATTCATTTTCGAATTTGGAAAATTCGCAATAATTAGATAGTGATGTCGGAGTGACTCCTTTGGTTTTGATAAAACATATTCAGTACTGATCTTCATCTTTCGTATCAGATTGATAAAGTCGTTTCAGTGCTAAATATCCGAATGAATACAAATTATATATGTATATATATATATAATATATATGTTTACAACAGTTTACAAGTTACATGTATGTAAACTGTATGCTTATAATATATATCCTATTTCTTTTTTGTACAGGATAATTCTATCTATTTGCAATCGCTTTTTTAATGATAATCAACGTATTTCGATGTTGAAACCAATAATAAAATCAATACACATTCGTATTACAGCTACGGTCGGCAAGTATAGAATTTCTACAAACTCTACAGAACAGAATTCAACGGTATTCAAGACTTCTCAGCATGGGCGGCCGTAGTTGACGTTATAACCGAAGCGATGTCGCTGCTGGATTGACTAGTGATTGGTTCTAGTGGTGGCACGCTAAAATAAAAAAAGAATGGCAATTATAATAAATATAATTATCATGTTATAGGATTTCCAACTTTTTCAGTCTAATAGAATCTTATCATTTTTTATTTGGATACAAAAAGAATTAAATTTTAATAAAATATAATATAATCTAACAATAACATTTAAAACATTTTACATTATTACATCTCAATTCTTTTTTTACAAAAATTTATATTATGTAAAGATTACCTCAGAACTATTGCTATTTTTTTCATTCATGATTTCTTTCTGAGCCAAATTTCGATAATTTTTCTTAAACAAGAACTAAAAGTTAATGTATGTAGCAAGATATTCCCAAAATAATTAATAAAACCGTTAATTTTTTTCTGTTCCAAGTTTTTTCCTTTTTATTTTAATTTTTTTTAATTGTTGGCTTATTAATGGAATTATTAATTGAACGATAGCTTGCCATTAATGTCCAAAATGTCGGAATATACCGAGGAATACGCACAAATTTTTTACATTACAAATGAGATGATTCGTGACTTACGTAAGGGTAGTTTGGCGATTCAACACGGCAGCGGTAGGTAATGCGAGAGGCGAGTGTGCATGCCCTAATTGTGTTCCAGTTGGTGTACCTACAGGAAGACAATGCTCTTCAACCCCAACACCACCCCCACCCCCGCTTACGTACATGTTCAACTGCAACGAGTCCACTGCAATCAACAAAAGGACAATGTCGATCACAATTACTTTGCTTGTCACACTTCATGTGCTGATCATGCTCTTGCATCATTACTCTTAACATCTTTTGACAAACAATATATGTATTATATGTATGTATATTAATTGTATTTCAAGATGCACGCATTATTCGTGATATTACTCTATAATACGTTCAAATTTGCATGTTTCTAATAACAGATTTGTTTATGTATATCCACTTATTTTTTGTTAATTATACGTATTTGATACTTAAATCGTAAAGATTTAATGATTAGCTTCTTATCACGAATATTTGAGATGTCCAGTCGATCATTAATTTTTATTTTGCCATTTACATATAAAGTGCTCCCCAAGGCCATAACGATTTTCGGAAAAGATAAGCACATGTAACTTGAGTAAAATTTCTCGAATTATTATTCATTGTGTATAGAGCTGAAGAACTTCGTTTATATATGACAACAATTCGTTAATTCGAAAGAGTATATAATAGTTTAAATATTATAAAATAAAATAAAATATATATATTGCAATCGGGCGCGCAATTGCTATTTTTTTAGCATTTCAATCGCAAGTATAGCTTCCTATAATTTTGTATGTGCACTAGTCATGCCGATTAATTTTTTAATTTTATCATCTCATGTGTGAGAAAATATCGACGTACTGAAGCTAATGTCCCACGTTCCCCCCCCCCCCGCATATTTCAATGTGTGTATGTTCTTCAGGTTAATCCCCTATCGATGAGAAGCTATATGTTAGCTATCGGAGTACATCCCGAGCTCTGACCAATCCGAGGCACTATCGGTTGTTGTGTGCTCTTGTCGGAACTTCCCCGACCCTCCTTCATGCTGTCACATGTACATACACGCGATCGTATGTTTAGTCGGCCATCGCGATTGTCGATGGACGGGGACGGGAATTATTGGTTGATCGTTCCGTGAAGAATATTTGTACGCGGAGAAACCGGTTAGTTATTATTTTCATTTACATCGATGATAACGATGGTAAAAATAATTTTTAGCTCCAAATTTAAACTGCACATTTTAAATAGCATATTTTTGAATAATGATCGTAATAATAATATGATTTATAAATGATATATTCTTAGTGATTATATGACTGCTTAAATAATTACAAATATCACAATAATTTTATGTATATCATAATAGTTTTGAATGCAAATACATTCCTGAGAGTATCTTACTCACTCCTACCTGTAGGTACACCTGATCAGCTGAATACTCAATTAATGTTTGTGAAAATGAAAATATATACAGGGTATCACCGTCTATTGAAAAATTTTGGCGAACAGTAATTTAAAGATGAAGATGTACATATATCAATAATTGTTAAAATGAAAACTAATGGAAGGTGTTAGTAAAAATAAACTGTATATAATAGACTTGCTCACCGAAGACTCACCAAGTAGACTGGACTTCATATCGGTCTTGTGAATACCACTAGGACCAGGAAGATTTCCAGTGATGCCCGAGTGACTCTTCGGTTTCCTCTTTCGCGTCTGTATTCCTTCCTTTTTCATGCTTAAAGGCCTATTCACCTGTTTACATAAATATCTAATTAAAGTCCCAAAGTGAATTTAATATTTCTATTGTGCGAGAGATTTTTGAAAATTATTTATTTTTAATAATCGACTGACTAAACTGGCTGCAGCATAAAATCACTCGGTTTTTTGGACTTTTATATTATGACTAATAAAAGCAAAAAAGGCCACAGACAGTTTGATCGAAACTCGGTACAGCCGCGAATCGATCTCTGTTTTAATTAAATTTGTTGTTACGATCGTTTGCACAGATTCGCGCGATAATCTGCGCTCCTCTTCAACGTCGAGACGGGGTCGTCTCACGTGCGTAAAAACAATCAAGTCGTCGTTATCGCGGTTAGCAATCGCAAAAAGGCTGATAACGCGCTGACCAGTTCGCAGTAAGATTAATGTTAATTAAAAAAATTTCTCCGCTGCTTTCTTGATGTTTTTATATCGCGCGAAAATAGAAGGTATTGTAGTAATTCTCAGAACATTACTCAGAAATATCGCCGATAGGAAAAGGAAATATTATACGCTTATTAATTATTTTAAATGATTAAGAATAATTTATATTTTTGACTGCATTATTGTTGCGTTGTCTTTTGACTGCGTTACTATTAAATATTACTTGTTTTTATATATTTGCAAATAAAAATAAGAGAGTTGATTGAAAAATTTCTATTCAAATGAGATACAAATAAAAAAATGTGACATAATTATATAATTTCAAACAACTCACGTTATGCAGCTTGAAATAAAGGCCGCACGCATTGCAGACTGGTTCGCCATTATTGTTTCGTCTCCAAAGGGTTGTGTTGCTTGTCCTACAATTTGCACATTGTACCCCTGCCCTCCGTACATTAGCCTGCAATGAAAAAAAAAAACGTTTTCATATTAATACATAAACTTATATCAATTGCAAAGTAATATGCGTAAAGAAATTTATTATGTGTAACATGTTATTAAATTACAGAATTAAGTTATATATTTCGCGAACAATACACTTTTGCTTACATCTGATATTATCCGATGCGATATTATATTTAAAAATTAAAATGTACACGTCATAAAAATAGCTCAGAGAAAATTCGTCGCTCTCGGCGATCGATGACGACATAAAATGTTGCGTCGCCATCGAGAGACAGGGAGTATTTGAAGAATCGAGACAACGAAATGGGAGTGCTCAGAGCAAGAAAAATAGAGCAAACAACCGCTAGCGAGTCCCGTAGTGATTATTTGCTCGAGATAACGTTCCTCTTCCCTCTGTCTTTGGTAGCGGCAGAAGGAAACGGAGAGAAGAGGGAGGGGGGTAAGTGCAGAGGGAGAGAGAAGAGAGAGAGGCAGAGGGCGCGAGAATGTTACTTAATATCGAAGCCATGTATGTCTCATAGGTGAGAAATTTATCAAAGCAAATATAAGTGGCCTCATTTTAGCAATGGTCAAACGAATTTTAGATTCGACAATTAAACATTTTGAACGTGAGAGCAGTAAATAGTATTTTAATCTTTCTTTTTAATATAGTACGATATATTGTTCAGCAGATTCGAGATTTTTTTATGTTAAAAATCACTTGGAAAATAATGAGGAAGAGAAAAACAAAAATTTAGTTTAATTACGGATAATTCAAAAGTCCGGAGTTAAATAAAAAGCGCAATTTAAATATTATATTATTTAATAAAAATATATAATTCATTGTATAATTTATATTATAGGGAGATAGGGGGATATTTTTTTTTACAAAAGGTAAAGAAATTAACGACTATTAAAAAAAGAAATGTGCGTAATTTGAATTGAAATTTGAATGCTATTTTCTGAAAACGCGCACGACTCTCGAATTATGTATACGAAAATTAACATTCGAAAAATTACATAATTAGATTACGAGAATAATGACGTGATTCGCACAATGTTTACCGGCGCAGCAGACTGCTTTGGTTTGGTGCAGCGCATGGGTGGCCTATTGACGCCATTCATCTTGTTGTAGAGCCCGCAAGCATTGCAAAGGTAGTGGCCAGTGCCGTCTCTTCTCCATAAAGGCGTCATGCTGGCCGCGCAATTAACACATTCTTTGGGTTCCGTTGCTATAATGGTTCCTTCGAAACCCTCGTCAGAAAGTGGAAGGGTGGTCCACCCGGGAGGCGGTCCATTTCCGCTCGCGGAAACGCTGTATCCACCGCTACAGTTGGGGTAGAGTTGCACGTTGGTAGCATCGTTGACGGAAATGGCGGTGATGCCCGGATAGCTCTGAACGTACTCCAAAGTCGGGGGTGAGGGAGTACTGCCGCTTGGCCAGTACGGATCACCCGAAGAAGGTTTTACATATTGATACGACGTCGGTCCTGTGCTGTACAAAGTCACTTGGGAACTTGGTGAACCAGGTTGTTCGTAATGCAGTGGAATCGGTCGGGTGGCGGGCAAGGATGATGCTAACGTGGGATCGCCCTTCATGTAGGTGCTGCCGGATGATTCTACCTATTGTATTTTATTGATTACGAAACATAGATTTTATATTATTTTATATTATTTTTTCGATTAAATGGAGAGAAAACTGGAATAAAAATTTCGTTTCACGTGTGTGTGTGAATTGTAAAAAATAAAAGAAGATTAAAACAATAAAATATATTTTGGCCGCGTTTCCTTACCTCAGTAACTCTCGAGCCAAGTTGCGTCGCTGGTGGATATGCCAAAATCACGGGATCTCCTGGCTTGGTATAACTATACGTCGGGGTCTGCTGAAAAGTCTCACCAGCAGATAAATACTGTGTGTATTGAACAGGTTGTGCGGGTGGAATAGCGACCGTTTCCAAGGTGGTGTACGTATTGGGAGCTTTGATGGTTTCCGCGGCGGCCGCGACTTCGGCATCGTACTTGACAACACCGCTGGCGTCGGCGTAACTCGTTGCTACGAGTTGTTGCTGACCGGCACGCATACCATCGATTGGCGGCGAGTACGGAGGTGCGGGTGATCTGAGATGGACTGTAGATCCTGACTGCGTAACGATCGTCGAGGCGTCATAGTCCTCCGTTGTAGTCAGAACTGGCGACGTCTGATATCTGGTGCCAGCGCTCGGCCCGGACGCTTGATGATTCTCGTGAGGACTGAATCTTTGGTGGCCGGCCTGCTGAGTTCGTCGATGGTCCGGTACCTGTACGGTGATCACATGGTTCTCTCTTCGGACTTCATGACCGTCGGAATAAGCGTATATCCGATCTACTTCCATTCTGTCTGGCGCAGGTGTGTCGTATCTTCATGCCAAGAAGTAATATTTCGGTACAGGTGTTTTCTCAATAATTTTTTTAAATTCTATCAATCGATCCTTTTACTATTATCTTACCTGGGTGGTTCCTTAACCGTAAGTGTGATGGTAGCCTCGGAAGTTTCGGAAACTTCGACTTGAACTTCCTGTCCGCTGCTGGTGGCGTAAACGACGCGTTGCTGATCCGTTGATCGTTGTTGATCTTCAGTGTTCGTATGAGAGAGCTGCACGTAATGTTGCTGCGTTTGATGAGTCCGTTGCTGTTCCTCATGGAAATTACACTGTTGAGCTTGTTCGTGTTGCTCTCTTTGTTGAAGTCCTTGATGAAGACTTCCGGTAACCGAATTCGAATCTGGCGATTCCGGATCAACTTCGGTAATTCCCTCGGTTATATGACCAGCAGTAGTAATCGTTCTCACATGTCTTCTGGTCGTTATTACACTTTGAGGACTCCCGGCTGTGTGATCTTCCGTTCCAGGAACTTGCGATGAATTATCATCCGCATGATGACCCTCCCATTCCATTTTGATCTCTTGCTTTACCAGCGTCTCTTTCATCACGTCCTGAATAATGCGAAAGTTCCACTTTAGGAACAATATAATTATTTAATGTTTATATTTGTCCCATTCAAGCGTATTGATTCTTCCCGATTTATTTCCGATGCATTTCCGATGAGATGTCTTAAAATTTCTTTACGCTTGTTTCATTAAATCTTTGTGGGAGAAATTTCTGCTTAAAAATAATTTTGTTCTTATTCTTCTTTCGGAGAATAATTAAAAAATATCTTTAATAGACATATTATTTTTTATTTATTTATTACATTATTTATTACGGATAGCTTATTATCGAAAAGATAAATGCAAGAGTCTTTCAACTTTCGTAGAATCTTAATAATTATTTTAAGCAGCGTAATATAAATGTTAATGACAGACAACGACACGGCCACGTGCGAAAACTCGCGCGCAAAGACACCAGAATAGCGTTATCGTAGCGATAACGAAACGGTACAAGTAAAGTCATATGTCGGATTTTCAACTGGATAACAGATGAGATTGATGTCTAGGTCGGCGGTCGGGCGGAAACTTTTGCTCTCACCGATAACTTTCATTCTAGAGAAGTAACACTATTGCAGATGATTCGTCGTTAATTACGTGCGTATATGATAATTATACATAGTGAGAAAGTTTAATGTATTGTCATATATCACGTTATTTTGTCCCGATATTCAATAAGGACTTTGCAATGTAAAGTTAATTTAAAAATTTATGTAAGAAATCACGTCAATAATCTGATTTAGTATTGAACACATATCTTTAAATAGATTTCTACTAAATCAAGTCATAATCTGTTTGCCAAAAGTTCGTCAATCAACAGGATGAAGACTAACGGTCCTGCGAACTCAATTAGTCATTCTTTCAGGGGAATCCTCGAGGCACGCGACACGGAATTGTTTCGGCTCGCGGGCGAGAATACACAGGTCAGGTTTAGTGAAGAGGGTGGAGGAGAGGGAAAGGACCGGGGACACACCTCGTCCGTCTCAGGAAAAAATGCGAGAGGCACTGTTTGTCCTGCGTCACATTTCCGTTCGGCAATGTCAAGTTTCGACTTCCGGTGCGAGAGCACGCGACGGCTCTCTTTCTTTGGCAAAGACCTCGCGCGACTTCCGCTATATCTTGTCGACGATGATCACGCAATCTGTACTTCGGTGTCTCGCGAACGTTAAATCGAAATGTAATCACGCGACGGTGATGATGAGTTATAAACGCGATGGTATAGTGAAGTGAATAAAAAAAGTTGATTATTATTGTAAACTTAAGTAAAATAACTAGAGAAAATTATTTTTCGCGCGATGACAATTTCATAAGTATCATAACTGAAATTAATAAAAGTTTCTCTTAAACTTTCAACAGATTGAATGTTGTAGTAAATGTTATAATATAATGTGAATTATATTTCAAAGAATTAAAAATGTCTTGAAAATATTCAATGCATCTGTTAAAAAATGTTTGTATTAATCGACAAAAGATTATTTTAGACATCAATCTTAATAAACCAAGTCGCCTTTTTAAATTTATTTTACAGCAAATAAACTTATAACGTTTTTAATAACTCCTAGAATCGGTCGATACATTTGTTAACATGATTAATATAAAATTTATATAATTTAATAATGCAAACGTTGCAATTTTATTCAAATAAAATCTAAAAATCTTCAATTATGACAATCATTGAATTCGTCAAATCATTTAGTATATTTTATACTTCTCTACAGCTCTTTCGCATTTTATTCGCGCAAAATTCACTCATTGGTACCTCGTTCGCGGTGTGTCGCATTTGAGCTTCGCGCCGGATTTTTTCTGTTCTCACAGCCTGTAATCTCGACGCACTGAATACACCGGTCCCTGGCCGATACACTTAAGTTGATAGCGTGTACCAAACAGGTAGTATGCACACTCGGAAGTATCGTCGGAATCGATAATGATGATGTTGGAAAGAACGTTCGGAAAAGAGACGCTTCGCCGGCGGGAAGCGCTTTGCAACTGACGATAGCAAGAGAGATGACTCGCCGTGGTGTCCTACAAAGAGACGGAAGGTGGAAGAAAAGAGGTGGAATCGTAGCGAAGCTACGTCGGTGAATTTTTACTGTTTGCTTCCAGACGAAGCAATGTATCGTTGCTTCTTGTTGCGTTCGTCATCAACGAGCAGCGAAGAGAACGGGGAGTGACAAAATATATGCGCGTGTATGTGTGTAAGAAAGAGAGACAGAGAAAGAAAGAAAGAGAGGGGACATGAGAAAAAAAGAGAGAAAAGCTATATGGAGAACATGCAACAGACAATTTAGATGGACACCAACACCAACGGGAGCGATCGATTGGGCGGACCCTCGCGTCTCATTGGTCAGCTGATTGCGAGATTCTTTGCGGCTATTCTCGCGTGCTACTATTGCCGCAAGAATCATGCTTCTCGTCTTTCGAGGTACGCGTAGCAAATACGATATAAAAATCTGGTATAAGATCTTGCACATTTTATTTACACCTGCAATTTCTTTTCTTCTTCTTTGCTGACACTGAATTCATCTCTCTTAAATGCAGAAGGAATATATAGAAATAACAAGTTGAATCTTCCTTTTAATAAGAGTTGTATAAAATATTACAAACTTAAAAGTATTTCCTTTCAGAATGATATATTTTTGATGATATTTCGTGATACTTGTAAAAATATTTTTTACGCAATCGTTCGTTAGTTATATAGATACTGTTTGTATTACACCGTTAGATACGGTGCAGACGGTAAAACCCAACGAGACCGTGCTCGTTCGTAATTCTGTCCAGCCGGATTGGACGAATTACACACAGTATGGTCCGGGGGGAAAAAGGTCGCAGAGGGAGTTCTCGTTTGTTTGCTTGTTGATAAGCTCGATGAAACGACGACAAGAGATAACGAGGGATGGCGAGGGAACATGTCCACGAGATCTTGTCGTCAACGTCGGCCATCGTTGCCTTGCATCGCCATTTTGTAGCGACGACAGCTTAACCGTAGGGGGATGATGATTCATCCGCTTACTGACCAGTTGGAAAAGGGACGCTACGGTTCGTAATATTATTATCTCGTTTTAAAACAGACGAGAATAGAAGGAAAAAGATTTATTCTGGAGTTATAAAATATAATGTTTAATTATGTTACGTTCATTATTTTTATATCTCTAAATATGAAACTCATTTGTCGAAAGTTTCGTTAAATATCTTCTAGTCACTAATCTAAAATTATAATTGTTATAATAGAACATAAAGAAAGATGTATAGAAAAACTTTTTTTTAATTTTAAGTTGTTTTTATATGTTGTACATTAATAGGGAACAAATCGAAATTATATTAATTGTTCAGGACAAAAATTGTACTATATATACTGGCTAGTTATACCAATAATGATAATATTTAAATGATTCGCAAAATAAACGCATGAATGTCTTAAAACGAGCTGAATAATAATTAAATCATAGATCATTTTTGGCATTGTGATATGCCGCGCGATTAATCATTATCCAATCTAGGAAATAGGACGGAAAAGAAGAAAAAAAATTTTCATTATACAAATAGTATACATACGGAAGAATCATCTTAAGATAATGACTATTGCTTGCGTCATCGTGCATCTGATTCATTTCTGCAAACGAAACGTCATCGACAACGAAACCGTCACAATTTTTGATAATTGAGAAAAGATATGACACAAAATTGACACATATACGTAACTCCTTGCAGCCAAACTAATTTATATCCAGATTTAAATTAAAATTTCAAACTAACAATAAGAAAAAAAGTTTCATTGTCAGAACAGGGAACAGAATAAAGTGACTTAAAATTAATGTAAAAATTTCGTAAACATGTGATACTTAATTTTTCCAAGCAATTTTCAATTTCCGCTATTAATTGCCAATGTTAAGCGATAGATTATATAGTCTGCCATAAAAACTACCAAATGTTCTTTATATTCTACAAGTAAATAAATAACGTGATTTCGATGAGGGGCTATTAAGATAAAGGGACGTAGCGTTTGTCGCCATAAATTTATCGATCTGCACGATTGATACGAGGTACAGGAGGATTTCTCGAAATCGCGACTCAAGAGGGAAACAAATATATTTTCGGGCTGAACCTTTGAACGCGCATGGAATTGTCCGGAATGGCGTACGTGACGCTGTTGGATATTTCTACCTGCGATCGTAACGATACCGGTAAGCATGCCTGCTCGATAGAAATCAAGAGCACATTCATACGCACACATACATCGCAGGTTTCCTCTTGAACAATATTCCGCTGATAAGAGCTATTACGAGCCACGACAAAAGAAAAAGAGGAGATTATACGCAATTACAACACACCGAAATTTTGTTCGGACGAATCATAATTCTGTTAATTTTATAGTAATTTTCTCGTTAAATTATACACTGATTAGATCATGAGTTATTTCATATAGAATAAGAAAATTAACGACACAATGCTGGGAAAGAAATTTTGAAACTTATGCTGTTTATCATATAATTAGATATATAATATAAAAATATATTAATAAACAAATCTGAAGTCAAGAATTTCATATTAATAAAACAATTCTATTTATCTACATTTATCTATATTCGTAATCATTATTTGAATAAACTTAAAATAGAGAAATTTGATTTTATGTTGTATGATTTCATTAAAAATTATTAAATAAAGTAACAGTATTGTGAGTAATAGAAATCATGTAATAAGATTCTAATAACTAAAAAAATGGTGAATGTGCACGTTTTATTCTCTATAATATTAAGAAGATTCATGATATTTATTTTCCTCTTTTTTTCTCTTTCAATTCTCGTATAATCTCTTCTTTGTTTGCGCGACAAATTTATTAATCTAATAAAGTCGTCACCAGTAAACGTTATTGCCTCCTATAAAGCATCGATTACAAAAATGAGTATAATACCTTTCCGAGACAGGAAACATAAAAACCGATTCCTCTTTTTCCTAAGACTCAATGCTTTGATAAAGCAATATTTCGACATGAACTTGGAAACGCATCGGTGTGGATTAGCTTCGTAGTGCAGTTACGTTAAACCACCTGCATACAGAGCTTTAATGGGCGAAGTTTGGCCAATTTTACAATCGTGTTATGTCGCGGAGTAAGCAAACAGTACTTGGTAAACAAGAGGTAACTGCGACGCGTGATGTATAATTGCACGAAAGATTTTCTTAGCGACGTACAACAACCACATTCTAATAAACTTCTCTGTTCATGTTAAGTAACATTGTTTTTCTAAAAGAAATAAAAATTATATTACAAAACACTTAGGCCATTGTGTAATCGTTGAATTCAAATAACCAAGAATCGAGACATTCCTCAAGTATAAGATAACGTTTCGAAACCATCATTTTTTGTACGTAATTTCCAACATTCCATAGATTCTTGTATTTTATACAAGTTTCACATATAATGTTTACATTTGTATATTTCATTATATATCTCAAATTAATTCTCAATGAACAAAAGTTTTCAATGAATCGATAATGTTAATGGAATAAAAATTTAACAATTAATTTAATATTGCAATAATTAATTTAGTATTGCAATTTGGCAGCATTAAATGAATATAAATTATAATTGATTAGAATCTTTTTGTTCAGATTGATCAGATATCTCTATGTAAAGATTTGCTTTTTGTATAAAACTTTTTTGTCTACTACACGTTTCATACATCTCTGTGCATTTGATATTTGTCGCACGCAGTCCTATTATATAAAAACAAATTCCTGGATATATGTATATTTATAAATAATAGTTATATAATAAATGGACAAAACGAGCAGGGTAGATAGGCGAAACAGAAGGTAAGAGATTGAAGACGGACAAGAGAAAGATTACCTGAATGAAGATATTAGGACCGATATACAAAGCGTATAACGTCACGTTATACATCGACGATGGGGAGGCGCGCGTGGTACCGCCACGCTGTCAAAATAAACGACACTATCGCGATTTATCTCGTTTCCCATGATAATAAGAGATAAAACTGCATCCTTACATTAGCTAGTATATCAGCTAAAATGATAATTTCAGTCGTCGGATTCGCCAGGAGCGCGTAGGGCCGCTCCTACTCTCCTCCGCCGCGCAGATCTTGGATTTCCCCAGGTAAATTGCTCGGGGATTCACAGGAAAGAGCCAGTAAATATACCTACTTTACCCTGAAGTGCATTGTGTAAGATCGGTTATCGCGAATAAGTGTAACACAAAAAATAAAAATGTAGCGGAAGGGGTTGGTTTGATTTCACACTTATCTTATGGTTACCTACAGGAAATTTCTTAAGTGTTATCTATATGTGAGTAATTCCTAGAATAAATTTTTTCTGTAGATTTTCATCTAAGAAATTTACTTGATGTATTAGGATGAAGATTGTAGATTTACGATCGAAGTGAGCAATTCATGAAGCATACAAACACGAATGAGTGTTGATTCTCATAAAAAGGTGTGCGGAAAATTGTAAATTCTGCACGTGGTGAGATAAATGAAATATGTGCGTGTCGAGAATGTTATACTGCATTATGCCTGGAAATTAATACGTAATGAATTTTTGTATTTTTCTGAGGCAAACACGACGGAAATAAAAATCGGACAAGCAGAGGATTTACGTCATTAAACGGGGAGCGAGCACGTCGAGGCCATTTTCTTTATCAGCCATGTAGAAATCCCTTATCATCGTACATGAAAAAATACAGGTGTGTGTAGATGCGTGATTGGCTGGGTGTGTACGTGAAAATCCGTATCACTGAGAATCTACGCGAAAACGATGTCTTATTTTCGCCCGTTGACATCATGCAGTTCAAAGTATACTGATATATACAGTGTCTTAAAAATATCAAATGTTCTTTTAATTATAGATTTCCTGGTCTATATGGAGATGATTTCTAGTATTAATGAAAATATCAAAATTCTTACTCTTACTACTTCCAAATTTATTTGTCGCGAATTTGTATGATTAAATATAAATTAAAATTTCATTAAAATAAAAAAAAAGATTCCTTTCAATTAAATGTTTGTAGAATTACACGATTTTAGCTTGAAATATGCGATTTAGCATTGTAGTTTGACGATGATAGATTAAAGAGATTTCTCAAGACGCAATATGGCGTAGAAAACGTACGATAGCGCTAAGTTCTCGGATCTAATTGAATACTAAGAAGTCAATAAAACTTTATTGCAATTTGTCATCGTTTTGTAATCAAGTATAGTGCACGCTCGTACATCAAAATGGCGAATATAGAAGTCCTTTATGGAGTGTGTTCAAATGACTCGACGGCGATGTCTCACGTCCGCAACGCGTGCAAAGATGAAGAAGGTTTTACAGCGCAATTACTGAAATTTACAACGAGACAGAACTGTCTCAATTTTAACGTCGACGGGATTAACATCGCGCTACGACTGCGTTGTGCAAACACAAGTTTCGTGCTCATTGTTTTCGTTGCAAATATAGTGCGCCCGTTCGTCATAAAATATCCGAAAAATAGGCTCAGAGCTAGAGAACAGTAACAAAGATAGACTTAGATTTTCAGGGATTTTTATCGAAAATGTTTAAAAAAATGCGTACGTTGACGGAGTTTTAAAACTCGTCTAGTGTTTCTTGAAGAGAAAAAAATGAGACACGCACATGTAAGTACGGCTATGGTGATGTTTGCATTTCTGCAGCGTAGCGACGGGATCGAAACTTTTTATTCCAATATTTGTATTTCGATTGGCCACGAATGGAACGTCACGAGACCTTGAAAAAAATGATTTATATTGAGATCGCATTCGGAACTAAAACCTGTGCCGTTTTTCTCAGAGCATCTTTGACGACGATGGATTTTTACAAGATATCATATTAGAAATCCTTAACATATGATATACGCTTCGCATAGTGTGTTCATTTCTAAAATGCAATAACAGAATAATATCAAATGGAAATTCTACGTGTAAATACTCCATTTGCCAAGAATTGCAAGATATGTTTAAAGTGTCGCGTTTCGTTTATCGTTATTTTGACTGTCAAATATTTTCAAACTGTTGGAATGAACAAAGAAGGTAAAAATCACTGATTAATTTTCTTATTTTTGTGATATAATGATGTGATATTAAGAAAAAATAAACTCTGTTACTTCCGAGTAAATCGACGTAATAATCGAGGGGAGACGTCGCCGTCGCCGTCGCGCCGACGGCGCAGCGTGAAAGTCGGCCGCGATGCGAGGACCAATAATTAACGTACACGACAAACAGTATTATCGTCATTGCCTGATATTATTCCCATTATCTTATATGTACGACGGCTATGTGCTTAATGATTAATAAAATATTATCTGCGCTCAGAGTATATCTCTCTTCCTGACGACAAATAGTTTCGTACCAGACGCCGCGAGAAGCACCAATGTGCCGATGTCGCGCGGCTTGTGATCTACAGGTGAAAATAAAATTCAAGTCGACAGTATTCGAAAATAGAGCACATATATCGCGAACTTAATTCGAGAAAAAAAACATACGTAAAATAAAAAATCATTTCATTTCTATGGGAGATGTGTGAAGACATATGGAAGATGATTTTTAGTGACCGTGACTTTCGATATCGTGTTATGATTGATGTAAAACTAAAACAGAATTCTCGCAAATATTTGCAATCAAAAATTTAATGGAAATAGAATTAAATGCAGAATGCCGATGAATATTTTCGAGCATGTAATATCGCGAGTGATAATGGGAAGAAATTTGTACAATATTTAAAACAGTAGAAGAACCATGATGTGTGTGTGTGTGTGTTAGGTGCATAAGTGAAAAATAAAATTTTTTAATTACTTCATATTAATTAAATATCAATAACATATGGAACATTATAAAATTTATAAAGAAAGTGTGTAATGCATGAATATATGCGCATCTTTATCTAAGAAAATTCGCGCATCGAAATCTTCCGTCGCGCGTCGGACTAACCTGAGTTATCGATTTAATATTTACATTATCGACAACGTTCTTACAATCAAGCAATCTAGACACCATCGTTTCGGATGTATTTCTCTCTTAAACCAGACACAGGTGAATTAATTAAACATAAAATAATTAATATGCTGTAAATGAGAGTGCTCAAATGTCTGCAAATATTTTCGATCGCGTTTGTATATGCTGGATATATTACGTGTAAATGAGCTCATATGCAATTTCAACGATTACTGGTGGTTACATTGCTCGCACAAGTTTTCGGACGCACATGCGATGCGTCTTTGAGTGTAAAACAGATAAATTGACATAATGATGAACCTTGAAAATGAGACATGAAGAGAAAGAAGGAAAATTTCCAAGAGAGAGAGAGAGAGAGAGAGACACGTATGAATCGAATCGGTGAGGCCCGTGTCTAGATTTCAACGTCAAGATCGCATCGACGAGGAGGAGGAAGCGGACCGCGTACAAAACACAAGTGTCGGAGCGGGCCGAACATAAAACACAAGTGTTCCTTTCGTGTACGGCGTTGCTCGCGTTACGGATGTTCGTTTTCGTTTGACTCCTTCTCGCATGTGCGTTTCTTTCTCTCTCTTTTAATAGCGATCAGGTAAAATCGCGCTAGACGATCCGCTGCTCCTGAACCAATAGCTTGAATCTCATAAGTGTTTCTGTACATGTTTCGTTTGTATTTATCACACACACACACACAAATGGAATTATTAAATATAGATTTTGGATTTTATTATGCTTTAATTAATCATTTTTATATTTTAATAATGTCTAGCGCAGTCATTTTTATATTTGAATTGTTAAATTGTGTTAAATTATGACTATGTATACATAACTCCATAAAATTTACGTTAATATTAATTAGAAACTATTTTATATATGTTAGTGTCATAAAGTGTTAATAATCACTTGAAACACTAATCAATTAGATCTTTTCTTATCCAGTATATACAGAAATATGAGAGAAAACTGATTTAAAATGATAGCTATTTCATTTATTACTATAATGATCAATTTTAATTATTAATTTTAGCCCTGTATTTTGGTACTTATTCCTAAATCTATTAACTGTACAAATAAAAACAAAATTTATTTAACAACAATAATTTGCGCTCGTTAATGTTGTTGAGATCATGTCCAATTTGTTTACTGACTCGCTATATATAAGCCGGGATCATGATGGTGGTTTCAACGCGCGAAATTATACAATCGAAATGTCGCGAAGAGAATGATAAGGAGTTTCAACTTACAAATCAACAGAGGAGAAAGATGAGGAAAAAGCGCCGAAGAAGAGCGGCTACACTGGAGTATATTCCTCTGGAAACTATTGCGATTCTGTATACTCTACTGACTCGACGCTCCACGACGTGCTCCGACGTTCTTGGAGCTCGTTCCTCGTCGTTACTGCGTCTACGAGTGAGTTTGTGAGTGAGACACGCACGCGGCGCGCGCTTGACACAGGTGCGCTTCCACGAGGAGAGCGAGGAGGCCTGCTACTCTTCGTCGTCGTGATCGTCGTCGTTGGAACTGCCGCCTGGTAGCGCAAGATCAAAGCTTCGATTTTATCCGAGAGCCGTCAAATATTAACTGATGACGATTTGAAAGAGACTGCTGCCGCCGCGCCGTATTGTATATTGTACTGCGTCGGGATTTCTTCTGCGAACGCCATATTGGTACTGATGTTCCTCGGTGCTCCGCTTTTCTACTTGTTAGTCGTATCGTAAGTTATGAAAACTGAAATGATGAGTTGCGAATAAAATAATGATAACAAGGGAATTCTCTTTTAGAAACAGCCGAGATAAATAGTTGATCAAAGTACCAAAAATTAGAAAAACTGCATTTATATAATTATCTATTTACCAACGGAGAAGAACAATTCTAATTTTTTACAAGCAATATTAGAAGATATAATAATTAAATAAAAATAAAAAAAAAATCTAATTGATTAAATCATACAGTTGATACGACTTTTAATGTATCGAGTGAAGAACGATGTATTTTAAAGAAGTCTAGACCCCATGTAAACAAAATGAGTTTTATTATAAAAAGTAGTAATTTAAATGTACTTTTTATAACAAAAATAATGCCTACATAACATTGTATAGACTGCGAAAACACAGTCGACTTATATCATTTTTTTATATTACGCGTTTGCTATCAATTTCGCACGTTTGTCCTTTATCAACAATATGGCTTGTTTATTGTTCTTCTCTGTATGTTTGTTTTTTTACACTTTGCGCAGGTTATAAATCGATTTAATTATCTTTTATACGATTCATAAAAAACAATCGCACGTGGATCGCGTTAATATAACACAAGTATATAACGCCATCACCTATAAGAAAGATTGTGAAATTTCATTAATTTTTCATTTATAACGAGAAAGAGCCAAACAAAAGAAAAATATTTCAATTAAAACATCGCATATACATCAAGCTTCTGAGACATAAAAAGTTCAAGTATTTATGATGTTATGAGAAAAATGTTTGGTATATTCGGCTTACTCATAATTTATTACCTTTATCCCAGGTTATTTTTGTGGTCCTTGATGAGGGATCGGTTTACCTTACCGTGTACAGGCATACCTATCACAGTTATCATTTTGTTGGAAGGAGGGGAACAAAGCTTGAAGGCGGAGGGTTGTAGTCATGGTTACAGAGCACACACTAGGGTACTGCTGCTGATAAGAGAATCAGGTGAGACATCGTTCTAATAAGGCAACGATCCAACAACCATTATTATCTCAGATGCAATAGCGTAATCGAGATTCATGATGCGTAAAGATATTATTTTTAAATTACAGTGACAAAATTAAAAATTTAGTTAACAAAATCCTGAATTTATAAAGATAAATAACATAATTTACTATATAAAAAGTTTCATTAAACATTAAATTTGTATTAATACAATGTTTAATGAAATAATTTATATAATTTATATTATATAAAATTTATTCCAGTTTTATTTAAAAGTCTTGAAAATCCAAAAACATTTATTTAAAGATAAACATAAATATTAATCAAGATTTCGTTTAGAAATTAATTTTAAATAAAAATAAAAATTTTATCATAAAAAATTAATTAAATAAATAAACGCGTTTATAATTTTAAGCAATAACTAGTTGTTCTAAAACTTTTGTGGATCATGATATCGACTACGCCATTGCAAGCAAGAGAGGGCATATGTGATTATAAAGATTAGCCGAGACATTGCATTATCGCCGAAAATACACAAGGATGAACTTTCTTACGGCCGTTCACTGACTCCTCGTCTCTCATCAACTAAATATTTTTATGAATATCATGGAGGATCCATATTAAACGTGCATTTGAATGTGTAATTTAAATAATCTATAATTTTAAAACTGCATTATTTTTTAAATAACGAATACAGTTCGATGAAAAAATATAGATCGCACGCTTCATATAAGTAATAATGCACATTGGATCAATCTTTTGTAATTCATAGAATGCATACGTAATAACATATACTCCTTTCTTGTTATTAATCTACATATAATTTTTAATTGTGTAATTTTACTGATAATCTAAATTTTTTAATGTTTTATTTTTTATAAACTTACCTTCAAATTTGAACCATATAATTGTATAAATTATCAAAACGAAGCTTCTTAGCCTCGTTTGAAATATCTTGTTTTATTTAGAAATAATATGATATCTCAATACACAACATTCTAAAAATACCTATATTATGCGAAACATGTTGACGCAATATTTGCTCTAATAAAACTCGTTATTACAAAAGGAAAAAAAAAATATGTCACAATTGTCGCTTAGATTTATTCGCATAGCCGTCACATATATTTACTCGTATCGTATAATATACACCATTGCTATATATTTATTATTTAGCTAAATATTTATATTATATTACATTATGTTTATTATTTTTATCGCTCTTGCGTAACATATTTTATGTTATATCAAAGATATTACATATCTGCTTGATTAGAATATCCTTGTGCTTTTTTATATTATAGTTTTATGCTAGAATATAAGAGAACACACTTATACCTAATCTTATATAAAAAAAAATTCCCATATACATATATATACAAATATAACAATATCATTCGTAATTTGGTATTGTCTTCGATGTTGACACAAAACTCCATGTTAATAAAATCTTCTTTGGTAAAAAAAAGGAGAAAAAATGAATAAAAATAGCATAAAATAAACAAAGAAAATTATTTTTCTTTTAAAGAGAAAATCTATTTCCCTTTGGAAATTTCTTTTTCCGAAGGAAAGGCTACGATTTTCTGAAAAATTCTAAAATCCTAGAATATCCTAAAATTCTTATTTACAACAACAGCGCTGCTTTCATATTTTCACACTTTTGTTATAAAAGATATATAACTTTCAATTTTGCGTATCACAATATGCGCACAGGAAAGTAAGATCAGCGAGATTGTTCGTCTCTCTCGTTGGTTAAAAAGTAAAAAGCGGGAATCAAACCCAGGTCTTTTACTTGACAGGCACTTACTTGGTTACTAAGTTATTTTTTATTTATTGCCTGCCTTAACAATTGGTCATCTTTCCGGCTTTCCGGACTGCGTTTAGGATGATATCGACACAACCGTAGATCTCTCGAGATGACCATTGTCCAGCATAATTTTAGATCCGGCTGGACTGGTCGACGGACTGCCTAGAGTGACGATATGTGGCGAAGTGAGGTGATGATGATCAGGCGACTGACCAACCGAGACCATTCCAGGTGAGCGCGTGGCGCAAGGTGGAGATGGACATTCGGTCTTCGGCGAATGGGTCTCCAACAGTTGGTGTTGCTGTTGCTGTTGCTGCGAAGTGATCAGATCATAATACACGGGCTGATAGGGTATCATCCTGCTCGAAGATTGAGAACTACTGTAGAGACTGCTTGGATATGTCACTTGCGACACGCCAGTATGAGCCATCCTCAGATCGCTATAGGTGTCTACGGTGTTAACAGCAAAATTAATTTTTTATTAAATTGATTTGAGTTTAATGTATAAAATCGATGATAAAATAGGTCTGTATATTTTATCTGTAAGTAAAAATTTCGCAAAGAAAATTTCAAGGAAGAAAAAAGTCTGATTAGTAAAAAGTAAAAAACTGTATAATATTTGAGTATTCTAATAATGAGAGTACTTAATTAACAGATATGTATGTATATATACCTGGTTCAAGCTTAACGGTATTGTTGTTGTTGTTATTGTTGTTCGTGCATTGCGCAACATTGCCCGAGAGGGGCGTATCACTGCTTTTCATTCCACCCTTAGGCTTCCGCTTGCGCGTTTGAATGCTGTCTTTCTTCATAGTCGATGGCCTGTTGACGCCGTGCAGCTTGAAATAAAGACCGCAGGCGTTGCACACCGGTTCACCGTGTGCGTTACGACGCCACAGAGACGTCATCGTGGTTTCGCAGTTGCTGCAAGAGAGACCGACGCGTCTCGTGGCAGACTGAAGAGACACAAAATTGTTATTATATGCTACTACTTTTAGTAAAAAAAAAAGATGAGAAAATGATTTCGTAACCGAGAGTCTGATGAAGGGATAATGATTGCATTGCTCTTAAAAGGTATACGACAGAGTATATTACAGGATTGTAAATGTGAAACATATAAGAATTAATTTAACATTATGGGTAATGTTGAAAATATATATAAAATACGAAAGAAATTTGTGCTTTAAATTTCGGAGGAAACTAATATATACCATATAGGAGTATTACTGTAAGAAAATAATTTTAAATATTTGAACATTTAAGAGAAAATTTATGGTATCGAATAATCAATCGCCTTTCCCCATCGAGTCATTAAAGAGCTCCGATGCAAAATCGGGAAAGGATTAGGTCAGATTACCATAATTAGAAAGTTTTCTGTGCAAGGTACCGCAGAGACCGCGGAGCAGAAAAGCGAGCCACCCTCGGGCACGAAGATCACGCGAGCCTGGAAAAACTCAACAGACACAAAGAATCATTCCGTGTGATCGGAAATTGCAAGCGACACGTGATTGCAAGACAAGACGTACTTTACAACAGGCTGCACGTGATTTCGGGAAGGAGAGTGCTCGTACCATGGGTATAGTGGCACCTCGGAACTACGACTCGAATGTTTTCTACTAGAAATGCGCCACCGATGACGAAAACGGTCAAGGACGACTGCCTTCGTCTCGATAATTAACGTTTAGTACAATGATGAGCGGAATCGAAGAAAGCGTGATGTTAACCCGATAGAAAAATTATGGGAAATTCGGAAAGGAAGATGTCGATCCTTGTCGACCGCAAGCAGTTTTCTGGCACTAAACTTTAATATTTTAATATATTTAATTTAATCGTAATTATATTAATTCATACAGATCATACTTATTACTGAATATTTATCAAATTTTCATTAATCTATCAACAATATATCTTTATTTACTACACACTACTTGATAAAATGACATTTTTTAAGTGTTAATATATTTACAAATTTTACTGCTACTCGGCCGCAGTAATGGATCAACGATGATGACGATGAGCTGAAGAAATATACGGTAAAAGGTGATGAAATATGGGACAAGGAATCTTAATGATAAGGACGGATAGAGAGAAAAAGAGAGAGAGAGAGAGAGAGAGAGAGAGAGACATTAGACAAAAATTATTATTACAATATCATTAAAGCGAAAAAAATGAAAATACAAAAGAGACAAAAAGAGAAAGAGAGAGAAAGAGAGAGAGAATGTTGACTTGGGAGGATGACACCTACCAAACGACGGCTCGATTTCTCCTCGAGGGCGCGACGGGTGCCACTATACCCACAGAAGTCTTTGTAGAAATTGCCCTGGTCCGCCACTGAAACAGACATGAGGCCATGCGTTAGGGGTGTTTTTTTTCTTGCGTGTATTAAACATACACGATGGTGCATCGAGCCTCGAGTGAGAGGCGAGTTTGGCATCGCAAGAATGTGCAAAGTGCGAGAATTTATTTTGTCACGGTCCGAAATATCGAGATGCGATTGCTGAGCATCTCTTGGACTTACAAAAGGGCAGAATGTCACGGGCGAATTTCCACATAGGCTCCTGAGCAGTAACGAAAAGGAGCGAGAAAAGATCCTTATTGTTTCTCTCTCTCTCTCTCTCTCTCTCTCTCTTTCTGTCTCTTTCTTTCTTATATCCCTTTCGAGTGTATGCAGCTAGTCCGGATTTATGGAACCAACGGTTTGCAAAATACTGTTTGCATCAAATTTGTTCAAACTTATTCACGTTTTTTAACCTTGAAAAAAAATCGCTCAAATTTTTTTCAACGAATTTTTTGGAATAATAATAACAAAAATTAAGCGACAAAACATAAAATACAGGACGTCTGATATGATACGTGTACAGAGCTTTCAATTTTCCGAATATTGCAAACGACTTTGCCTAACCGTTCCATTCCTAGATCACGATGGCGACTAGCGTCGCGATGGAGTCGTCAAGGGCGCGAAGCCTTCCTTACCAGGCGACGTGGCTGTTTAACTAATGGACGATTCATTCCGTTCATCTTATGGTAGAGACCGCATGCGTTGCAGAGGTAATGCCCGGTACCATCTCTACGCCATAACGGTGTGGAAATCGCGCCGCAATTCACGCACTCGCGGCCCTCCGTAAAGTACTCTGCTTCGATGCTGTGCACTGTGTTTCATTCACACTGGGTTTCTCAGAAAGATCAGATAGGTGCATCGTATGCAATAAATATGCACACATACATATCCTAATAACTACATAATTATTAAACTCATACAAATAATATTAATAATGAGAAGTTTAATTAGATATAATGTAACATTCTAATCTGATTATAATTAAATCAATAATATGATCAACCAAATAAAAAATATTTGTCTTTAGAAATAAAAATAAAAAATATGTGTAAAAAAAACAATATGTGTAAAATATGTATAAAAATTTATCAGGCTGGTCAGAAAGTCTTTTTGTATTTTGAGTCGCCTTATTTGGCGAAAATACGAAAAGACTTTCTAACCAATCTAATATTCTTTTTTAATTATATCCTTTTCTGAAAAGTACTTATTTATTAATCTTCTAAACATTTACTAGTTTCATTTTCTGTAAAACAGTATTTTTCCTTGAAAAAGCAGGCATGCAAACGATATAGAATAAATTTGCAAAATACTTATTTCTTTTTTCCTTTTCCTACGCTTTTTACTATAAAAAAAATCTCTTTCTTTTCTATCGGAAAAAATAAAAGCGTGTAATATCCATGCGCGCTTCCGGTATAAAATGATGTACGAAACGATGCGTTTGCGCGACCAGGTAAAAAGCATAGAACTACACACGTGTCTCTGACGGGAGCAACCATATCTGCAGTGGCCTCTTTTTACGTGACCACTCGGAAACAATTGTTTCGTTAGTTTCGCGCGGCGTTCCCCCACTTCCATTACGTGACTATGAATATGCATAGTTTCTCAGACTGAGCACAACGTAGAACGTAAACTATTCCAGAACATGTAAAATGTTCATTACGAAAATTTATTTGATTTTATTTTCTTCGACAAACAAAAAATACAAGAATTTAATAAGATAATTATTATGGTAATAATAAAAATAATAATAATAATTATTCTTGATGGACGATTTAACCCTTTAAAGCACGTTACATATATGTAACACCTTTTAAAAATAAAAAAATGTTCTTGCATTCCAATTTTTTGGTAACCTCATATCTAGTAATATTATGAATCGCTGAGTCCGAATCTGAAGTAAAAATTTAAAATTTTACAATGATTTACTCAGAGCAACTTAAAGTCAAGAAACAAATTTTTTGTGTGTAATATGTACTATAACAAAAAATTTTTCTTATACAAGATTAAAACTTAATGTTCGAAGATTTTTGGAGTTGTTGATTTCAAAGTTAAAATTTACAAATTTTCAAAAACTATAAGATGGCGCATCAAAATCGTAAAAAGTCGTCGGATTTGATACAATCGTCAACACATTTAATGCTCGGTTTTTTAGCTCGTTTATTTTGAATACAGAGTAAAATTACAAAAATTCAAAATGCTGAATCTAATATAACCGACATTGTATTTTCAGTGCGTCATGTCAGATCTACTATTTTGAATTTTAAATAGTATTTTCAAAATTTGATTGTACATACGCGGAATCAACGCGCCCTAATCTCTTGTAAACCAAGTTTCAAAAAATATATATGCAAAAAAAATGTATGCTTCAAAGGGTTAAAGCTAAGCCATTAAAATTTTAATAACTTTTTAAAGCATCCATTGCGATGAAATAATCATAAAGGATAAATTCCTTGTGGTTTTTGTGCTTTAAAATAAATATTTTTATTGTAAGCGTTACAGTGAATACTGTAAAAATGTTAATAATTCTTCATAATTTTATAAGTTGCAACGGAGTACGAAGAGAGAAAGATGTGAAAATTATATCACGGACGATACAATGGAAGCAATGAAGAGCACTTACAAAAAAGAGAAGGAAGGATGCAGGAAGTGTAAAAGCGACGAGGGAAGGATGGAAACGGACATGGCATTATCAGAATTTCCGGCGTTTACTGATAATAACGCGAACCAACCTAGTAGCCACGTGCGTATGTGCTACGTTAAAAAGCGCGTTGCTTGTACATACAGAATTATATCTATGTAGCAAAATTATTAATACTGAAATTATTTAAAGCGAAAATTATTATCTACTTAATCAAAGACTGAGATACAATTTTTTTTAATTGATGCCAGAAATTATTTAAATCACATTACTAAATGACACTCATTAAAACGCGAAGTCCACGTAAAGTCGCGTTTTTATCCTTTCCTCTACGGACTAAGCGATCGTGTCACTTGACGACGGAGAAAAATAAGAGAATTCGTCTCGAGTTACTCGGTGAAAAAAAAAGAAGAAAAGCAAGGTAGAGAAGGAGAGAACGAAGAAAGGTCGGCGTACGCGAGCAGCACATCCGGCAGAAATGCGACTGGGAAGCAATCGGATATTGTATGTAGGTAAGCAAGAAGCTACTGATGCCGCCCGAGTCCTACGAACTCTCTTAGACCACATCACATATGTATATGCACGGGTCGAGTTGCGTTCTCGCGCCTTCATGACGCCACCTTGACCCACAAATAGTTTTAATCCACTATTAATCGTCAGATCATCACCGTTTGCGAGAATTGCTAGTGCAAATAAAAAAGAACTAGTTTGACAATGCTATTTTTAATGCAACAGCATTCAAAGTATAATTTTATACATGTATTATAATTGTGTGCATTACGTAAAATCACATTTTAGAATATCCGTAAAATATATTTTTACATTATACTTTTAAATAGAAAAATTCTATCGTTTTTTTTCTTTCAATTCATATCACTTTTTTCTTTAACATTTCTGGATCGTTAAATCAAAATTAAGGTCTTGTTGCTTGAATCGTTTCATAGTGTCCATAATGCGACACGCAGTTTTCGAAGTAGAGAAGCGTTCGTAACTAGATATGAAAGGACGCAGGGGGAAGAGCCAGGGAATTAAAATGCAGGCATTGAATTACCGAACCGACACGAGGACGAAGAGGTCAGAGGACATGAGAATCCTCTTGAGATAGGGGCGAAATCAGACTGGGAAGCAATCGGATATTATGTAAGCAAGAAGTAGCTGACGTAGCTAGGTATCCTGTACGGAGTCCTCGCTACGTTAGAGGTACGCGTACAAGGGTTCACGTTGCACTTTCGCACCCGAACGACGCCGTTGCATTCCGACCTTCGTGACACTCTATCCTCGAGCATGAAGATCGCAAGAAAGAAAACGTCGCGACAAATCGCGACAGCAATAAAAAACATTAAAAAATAATAAAAAAAAAAGGAAATAACGGAAGTACTATAAATGTTATAGAAAAAAGTAATAAAAGTAGCACATAACACATATTTTTATATCGCAGATTAAATAATAAATCAGACTGTGGCACATTATTTCTTCTATAGTATTCCAGCAAACTTAATTTCACAGTTAGACGATTATACCTCGGCGCGATAATAACTATGTTATCGTCGCATTAACATTCTTGTTCACCTGTGCTTTTGTTTCCTTTGATCGCTCTAATCTGCCCTCGGCTTTGCAATACTTATTATATCATACAGAAAGCTCAACCAATTACCCGTGCAGCGTATGTACTTGCATGACCCGTTCGCGCCAGATGTGCAGGCATTGCATGCATTGCAATTACCATTTATGACTTCGACCTTTCTATCCTTTCCATTCTCAATCATTATTACAAGAAATAATGATTAAAAATTTAAACACTAAAGATCAAAAGATTAAAAATTAATTTTCTGTCACCAATTTTCGTTTCTTCTAAGTTTTATGTTCAATGATCAACGTTTATACAATTTTATTGAAGCAGAGATTAGCAGTAAGTAGTGCAAAAGATCTACATCAATTTTAAATGAATTAAAATGGGTATAGGTACCATAAACGTACCACAAATGAGAAAAAAATAAGCTGTGAACGTATATACTGATCTAAAAGGAAAGTTTTCGGACGAACCGGATTAATTTAGGGACGGCCACGTGCACGGTCCTTTAAGATGATGCACGGCTCTTGCGGTACTCTTGCATCAATGTATACGACGTATACGACGTATATGAAAGTCTACCGAGAGAAATAGAGTTCTCCTGTACGTAGGAGGGGATAGATGTCTGGCACGGTTAAACTTAAATCACAGTCAGCATGGTGAACTCGCGGATGAAACACTCGAGGTCGCGGTATGTTAAAAGGAGCGTCTCTCTCTCTCTCTCTCTCTCTCTGTCTCGTTGCCGGTCTGCTAGAACCAAGTCCGGATGGTGTGGCATGTGTAACCACACAGGCTTTAGCCCCTGAAGAACCACTTAAACTCTCTAAACTTTCCCTCTCCGATCGATATATTCCTCAGAGATGTATCTATCTATCCCCTTTCTATTTCTTTTTTTCAGAAAACGTCATTAATCTTAATTATTTTTATTTTTGTTACATGTATCTAAATAGTTATGTTGTGACGTAGTAAAAGGATCGTATGAATAGGCTAAAGTCAAAACAAAAGCATTTGACTCAAGCGCAAAAAAGCAAAAATAGAAAAAAAAAGTTCAGAAAATTGATTAATATATGCATGACGATGAAAGCAAATATTTAACTCATTTTTTTTTAGATATATGAGAACTTTTCAAAATCTTCGAAATTTTCAATAAAAGAAAAAATCCAAAATTAATAAAAAAAAACTCTCAAAAAATTAATAAAGACACTTGTAATGAAAAAAAATATATATGTATAACAGAGACGTTTTAAAATTCGTCGACAAGATATTTTCAACTTTGACTCATGCTTGCTTTCTCAGCATGACGAACTTTTATGTCAAGCGGATAAAGAAGTCCGGTCGACCTCCGTGAACCTTGAGGAGGCACATTTATCTTGGCGTCATTATTAGTATCTAAAATAAATGATCGAGACGCGTTGGCTTAACGTTCAATGTACTCGTCGAGCGTTATCAAGCGAGTCTTAATTATTGCCGAAAATGGACAGAAGAAAGAGCGTAAGTTAAGGGAGCAGGAGGTGAAGCGCATCGCAAGTAACGAGTTGCGTGTGATGTTGACCTCGGTCGTGAACTTGAGCTTGCATAAGAACCAAAATTAATTGCGAACGAACACCGAGGAAATATTTAAAAAAAGAAATTTTATGTCTTAATCCAACTTATCGAGCTTATCCTCTACGTGACATGCCCCACGAACGTGATATTGCACTGCCATAAATCTCTGATCGACTAAAGAACATCGTGATCTTAATTTACATCAGATTACGAAAATATCCTCCTCAGCAGTTATAATACGATTTACTGTGTTTGTATCGTGTTCTTAAAAATAGCTAATTAACATTAAACTTGCTTTTATTGCAGTTCAACTTAAGCTTACGATTTCACACAATCTTACAGTTATATTGAATGAAAAACTACAATTTTTGCTGAAAGATTGCAACATGATTTAATCATTTCGGAGAAAAGTTTGTACGACTTGGAATTATGTCCCTTCTATTCCCAAGTTGCGTTTGACTGTACGCGTCACTAGCTAATATTCGATTAGATATCTAAATGCTATTTTAACACCTGAAAATACGGCGGAATTATCGTGCGTCTGTTAGATACAGCCCTATCGTTACCTCTATATCGCGCGTAGACATAACTAGATTAGGCCTAAGCGTTCCTGTGCAGCCTAGGTCATGGTCGTCGTCAATGCCTCCTTCGATAGTCGCCAGTGTATGACGTCGCGGTAACAGGTGTCGTGGACCAACCGCGGACGACGATATAGAAATAATACATTAGGACGACAGCTCTTTCACGGTTACCGCAAAGCTTGAAATAGTAGACCATAAAGAACCCGGAATGGCGACAGGAATGCTTTCACGAAGTGAAAGAATGCATCACAGTATAGTTATCTGAATCATCGATTTGAAAAAAACACAATAGGTACGTTCTCTAAAAAAATTCCCATAAAATAGTAACTATCTTTTGAGATAAATGAATCAAAATAAAACTTGGTATTTTTATAAAATTATAAGATGACAAATTATAATTATAAGCGAATTGCAAAATTATTGCAAGATAAAAAAATATACTTATATTATAAAATAATGAATAATTACTTTCTCTTTCAAGTAAAGTTGTGTTAAATCCTAAGCGATACATAATTTAAATTAGCGTGATCGTAAAAGAGTACATATTATAAAATGTGTATATGACCGATTGTGAGTTGGAAAAGAGTTCATTGGTATTTATTAGTTAATCTGCTCCCGACAGGCCAACAAAACACAACAAAACCGCGAATTCATATCGCGGATTCTCGTTTACAAAGTCGCCATGTCAGTGGTCAGCAGCCAGTGACCCATACGAACGATAAATTTTCAGTCTCTCCCGATAACGATGGAAATTCGTAAGATACGCACCATCTATCCTATCGATCATCCAATATTTATTTAATGGCACTCGTAAATAATTATGCGCAGGCTAAAAAAGTCTCATGAGAAATATATCGCCCCCAGGGATGCTGTGTCAAGTAAGGGGATACTGAAACACGATATTCGAGTGGTCTGCTGGAACAGCCTCTAATTTAGAACCGTGAACGAATTAGTCACAACTATGTGATTATCCGTGCCACCCGTGGCTCAAAGCCGACCTCGCTTTCGTACTGAATTTTCCACAACTGGCGAAGCATCGAATCCTTTTCTTCGTTATTTATGACAACTGTAATACGATCGTCACGGGAGCTTGAATTACCGCCAATTCATCATTCGCGGAGAAGCAATACCTCGCTGCCCGGCATCGTACAAATTGTTAAAAAATCCAAGAGAATGGAATTTCGTAAGATATTGAATATTGATACACTATCCAATAAATCGTGATACAATCAGCGGAAATATGATTCCTTATCTGCACGTTAAAATAAAAGTTTTTTCTCTTTTTTTTTTTAATCAATCGCACAGAAAGAACCGCTTTCGAAAAGAGCGGATTTGACGCGTGTATCAACCGCGGAATTCGATACGAGTTTCGAAGGAGCATGTATGTCTACACGCAACACGCCCACCGATCACGATTGACGATATCCACGTCGCTGCACGTTGATGCTACCTCGTGTCGTTTAGCGCCGGCGCTCATTTATTCCCGTACGGACGCACAGATGCGCGCGACGAAGAATTGTCGCATCAAAGGACACCGCCCACTTCAGAAACGCACGATAGGCGCGCCGACGCGCATACGACCAGAGGAGAATCTCTGGTTCCTCAAGGACCTCCTCGAATGAGGATTGCTTACAGATCAGTCACTTCCAACTCCCCGTGCCCATGTTATCCTGCACTTTGCGGTTTCATATTTCGAACCGCTACGTAGTGAGTTTAGGAATTAGTTGAAGAATTGGAAAAATAAGGAAGAAAATCTTTAATTAATGAAGCTCCAGTTCCCACGGTATCTATCATATTACTCATATTTATATTTAAAAAACGCATAGAATCTAATAAATTTTGCAAGCACAATAATCCTCGATAAATATTAGGAAACGCACACATTTTCAAAATCTATTTTACAAATAAAATTAAAGAATTGCCAACAAAATATTTTCAATATAAAATAATACTAAAAATTATTCTGAGAATGGCTTTATAAAACAAATTAATATGCTGTAAAAAATAGAAAATAAAGATTCAAATATACATTATCACTGCATTAAGCATTAGGATTGCACGTGAATGAAATACAAAATACATTCAGCAAAAATCATGATAATTAATAAGTTACGAAGAATGTTTCTCGTCAAATTCCACAGATCAAATAAAATGACCAACACACGTTCACATTATCGCAACGATACCCGGCCGATTCTTGCAATTTTATTGCCGGAGACACGAACCCTGTGATTTGACAATCTAAATCGTGAGAATATACGGCCATCACTGCAAATATCGATGCGACGAATTTCAGAAGATGTACAAGCGAATTTATTATTATCAGACAGATTTAATACGTCGATCTCTCATGATTTTTTGTATAACATTATAGCAATTATTATAACATTAAAACGAAAAGAATGAGATTATCGACTTATATGTAATTATATGATGAAATTGTGCGATTCATCTGTTGTTGATCAATTCGTATCAACTCTTTTAATGCTAAATCTTGATCAGCCTTAATCGTACCTTTTTATTTGCAAAAAATCAATCTTTTGCTTTTAAAGTTATGATAAATAAGATGATTTTTTTAAGTAAATATATACATTTTTATTAAGAAGAAAGCGCATAATCAATTTTCACCGATTTACTTCTGTTTATAAAAATTAAGCATTAAAAGAGTTGTTCTAATTTTACTCTAACTTCTAATTATATTTATTTCCATTTATTAATAAAAATATAACACTATTTTTCGCCATTAATTGATTAATATAGAAAAATACTTTACTTACTTGCAGTTAAACTTGCGGCGGCGCTAATTTGCGTCGGTGCCGTCGCCGGATTAACAGTCTGTCGTCTCGACGGTGTACCATATTGTGTCGTTAATGCATCGGTTGTAGGTGATGCATACGTCCAAGAAGTAGCTTCTACGGCGGAGACAGCGGCGGTGCCGGTGGTATTCTGCTGAGAGGACGAATACGGCGGACTGTACCCGCGGAAACTTGATCGAGCTCCGAAAGGTTGCGAAAACGCCGGTAAAGATTGATGAGATACTGTGCCCGAAGATTTGCTGCCATAATCCTCAGAAATGGAAAGTCCAGTGTTCAGACCTGTAACTGTCAAGAAGACAACGAAAATGTATTGTGAAACAAAGAAAATCCAAAATTTCTAAACTGTATTCTTTTAACCATATAGTTTGTTTCGCTAATTTAAAGACTATTTTTTCGTCTCGAAAATACCAAGAAATAAAGATCATTTATTATATTTAAAAATTTTTTTTGATATATATAGATCGTGCGCGTGATCAATTGTAATAATGACTAATAAAATTTTGATAATTTAGTAAATCATTAATCGTTGATAATATTTCAAGTTTCTTTCTTCAGTTTTTTTCTAACTTCTATTGAATAATTTTTAATCACATATTGTTGCTTATATATAGAGAAAAACATAAATTAACAATTATACCTAACGCGCGTATATAATAAAAAAATTCGTTGCATTTAACAGATTATTAGAAATTAGAATTTCTGAAGAAATCCAAAGTTTCTTGATTCGCGACCATTCGCTAATAAAAAATGTTATAAACACGAAACAATCATCCATCTAATATACGTCAGAAACTTATTTATCAGAGCTGATGTAAGCATTACCGAGTGAATTATATTTGTGACCTACCTTGGGCGTTCCAAAGTTGAGGCGACGACGTCAATTCCGTAGGACTACCCATGTAAGGAAGGGAAGGATAAGTTCCTCCGGTTCCAGTTGCGGAACTCATCGCGCTCACGCTACTCATTGGCCGATACAATGACGAACTGAAAACAGAAAAACTTATACATAGAACGTAGAAGATGATGCCTTATATTACAATTTAGGTCAGTCCAAAATATGTATATTTTTTTCAGACAATAGAATAATATAAAAAAATCGTTTAATTTGATCGGAAAAGTAAATTCATAAACTAATTTCGCAAATTTGTAGCACCGTCATTTCGCCTAAAAAAGTTTATCATAAAATCTTATAAATTTTCATGTCCCATACATATCTTATATGTATATATCGTATTAATACGATATTAACAGCAAAATATTAATTAATGATAATTGGAATTGTGACAAAACTGCGCTTTCTCTTTGACATCGTTGTTGCCTCGCACCGTAACATTTATGTTACTGGTTCTGGTAATGATATTTAAAGATAATCGAGTCGTTTTCGAAATTTAAGAGAGAAACTGAATATACTTATAACGTAATTATTAACCCTTTCGCTACAGGACATTTTCAGCGTAAAAAACGCGCACTGCAGGTGGTAGATACTCGGCGGTGACCGACGCGCAGCGGATGGCCACCAGTGATTTCTTACAAGCGTATATTCTTTAGAAAATATACACAAGTTGAAATTGAATTGTTTTACTTTACTATTTTAATAAAGAAAATATTTTAATTAATTTCTACTTTTTATTCAATTTTGTAATATAAACATTAAATATAAAATATGCAGTATGAATATTTAGTTGCTAAGCAGTTGTTATTTTTTGAAAAACGCTTTCTATAGGTGCCAATAGCATAGAATAACCGAACTTAATTAGGTGCCTGCAAGCACTAATGGTAATGAAAAGGTTAAATAAACAGAGAGTCAATCGTGGCTCGTGTGCCTCATATTTCGCGCACAGATCACGTTTCGCGAATAAATACGCCCCTACCCATGGGATTTGCGGATCATGAGGCGGCGTGTACCTCGCGAATTGATCGTTCGAGATTGACACTCTAGAAAATTATTCTTGTTTTATTGTAGTTGTCATAAGTGTGGCGCTAGATTGCATTCATTTAGGTACATCAATCACAAATTTATAATCTGCTGGAATTTTTTAAATTTCGATTTAATATTTAAAAAAATTCTAAATAAAAAAGTATAAAAAAATACTTTACACGAAGAATATTTAATTATAATACAATAACTATACAATAACGAGAAGTAAGATTTTCCTTTTGCAACTAATTTGCAAATATATATTTGTATATTGTAACTGATAATAGTACCATCGCATTATTATCATTGGATAAATTCACTGTTCCGTGTCGGAAAGTAACCGTCGCGGGAGAGCGGAAACCGTGGTTTGACTCATAATGCGGGTGCGAACGCGGGCGCGTGCCCGAAGAACGGAAGAACACCCTTTCGGCCTCCCTTTGCGTCTCCTACTGCGGATGACCCTCATCATATGAAAGTCCGGAACGACATGGCTACTCCATTACCTTTGCCATTACCAGTTGTTTATACCTGGTTTCGGCTCGACGGCCACTTGAACGCAGCAGGATTCTACCTGAACCTGAACGGAATAGTATAACGAGCTCTCAGGCGCATGGCACAGCAAATTATGTGTTTCCACTTAAACGCATTTTTCAAAGCAACACCTTATCTTCGGCGGGGAATGTCGATGAATCCTCTCGATGAAATTTTTCGATAACTTTTGGAAAATTCCAGTGGAAGTCAAAATGATGACGTGTACAAATAGAATGTCAGTGTCACATATTTATGATTTAGTGAAGTGACACATTTAAACACACAAAAAGATAAATTTTTTCATTTACATTTCCAAAAAATATATTCAAAAGAATTAATTTTATTTCTTCGCTTTTCGCTTTTTAATTACATAGCAATTATATATTTACTATTTAGATATTAATAATCGATTTTAATTTCGAAATTAATCCATTTGAACTGTATAGTAAATCTCGACAAACTCTTATCTGTGACAGAGTCTTTTATTACATATAATAATGCGCGCGAAAAGTTATCCCGCTATCCGTCGCGTCGATACGCTCTGCATGCCACGCGCGCATCGCGCGCACGTGCACTTTATCTCCGAGCGCATTAACGTGTCCCAAACAAGGTAAAGAAGCGGCCGGCGTAAAACAAACGAAAGCACCGCTGTACGCTCGCGGTGATGTCAATACGGATGCGGCCTTGAGCAGTCGCGCGGTCGGCGCGGTGGCCCGGGCACGTTTCTGCATACCAGTACGTGTCCGGAGACACCTTTGCGATCGCTCTCGCGATGTCGACGATTACGAGGTGCTTCTCACGTGGTATCCTCTAAACTTACCGCCGATCGACAAAGAAAGATAGAAACTCCGATAAGCGCGTGCAATTTCGTCGAAAATTAAACACAAAAAGAGATCTGTGATATGCTAAATATTAGACTAGAGATAAAATAGAACGAAGATAGGTACAATATGCGAAGAATTTAAAATATAACATATATGGTATTGATAAGATTTAGTAATGTATAGACCGAATGTATAATATAACATATCTTATACCCCCTCCTCCCCCGCCGCTTTCCCAAAGTTCCCCTATCCTCAATGAATATATATAGACTTGAAGATTGTAAAAAATAAATTTTAGAGAAATACAAAATACATTTCGTTTCGACACTGCAGGCAATAAATATATCTAAGAAGCGATCCTTGTGTGTGCAGTATACTTATGTGGTAAAATTTATAATTTAATTAATTTAATTCTTACAATATTATTCATTTAAATTTGTCTAAAATTTGGTTTCTATATCACACGTGCACGGTATACATGTTATTAGCACGTGAATGGCTAGACGAAAACTGCGACTCGCGTGTAAAAATGCATGTCCAGCATATTACTCTTGATCGCCAGTAGAGTTGTGACGAATATGAAATTTGCAGACTAACAGTGAACCCGACACCCGACGTGATCTGACCTTTCAGGAAATCTGCTTAGACGATTTATATTTACATAACGTTAAGGTAGGTTATGACATGAAACGACAAGTTGGTATCGACGACGACGACGACGACGATCGAAATGAAAATATTTCCAACGATACAGAAGAAGAGAATTAAAATTTTTTCAATCAGTATACAAGGAATATTTTTTTAGAGTTCCGCGTAAAAGAATAATAAAATTTCCAAGTTTCAAACTGATTGCAATCGAAGAATTTCTTATGTCAGAAATATAAAATTTCCTATTATGCATTTTCGATCGCAGGTAGGAGTTACGCGTGCGATAAACTCGCATGCATTTTACATCGACAGTGTACATATACGGTGAATGAGAGTCGTCTAACGGTTTCGATTGTCTTAGGATATGTCGTACGTCTGACACGAGCTCAGCGGGCACGAGGATGCGTCTTAAGTGCATCGGCTAAGTGCGATGGAACGTCCAATGCAATAGGACGGAGTGCATCAGGAGCGAGACCGTTCTCCGTGAAACTGGTTGCGCGTATCCTGAATGGTTGTGTACCAGGTGCAATCGGGTACTTTGTAAACCACTAATACGAGAGGAAACGGTATTAAATGGGCACGCGCTGCGTGCAATTGCACGCCCGGTGCAACGATGCGCACGATCCGTCTCGCTAATGCGTTTCGCAATGTAAATGACCGATGGTGGCGAGGCGGAAGGAACCTTCCTCCTTCGACAAACTATGAAAGGTTGCAGAAATGGAAAAAAAAATACACAATGCGTCCCATGTTACAAACAAATATTGGTAAAGTCCTAAATAAATAAAATATTATAATTCTGAGCTCTCGAAAAAAAATATATTTTCAAAGTAGAAAAAAATGTTTAACGTATAGTAATAATCTTGATTATATGTATTGTTATTATTCGGAGCACCAGTTCATGTAATAGAAAGTAAAATTCCTAGACGTTAAAAGAAATATGTAAACAATGCAATAAATTTGTTCATCCTGTGGGGAGACAGTATTTCTTGTAGCCTATAGTTTGCTCTCGACAAACACGAATGAGGGTCTAATGCTCAATGACGTAACGTCATACTAACAGGAATTGAGGGCGATTTTATAGTTACCGTGCGGATATGTATGTGTGCGCGCATATTCTATGCGTACAGTTGCACGAGGAACTCAATAGCAGATCTCAGGTTTCTTCTAAGAACCTTCGCCGCACTTTTAATTATTACCGCCGCCATCGCTTGTAGTAATCTCGACCTCGAATCCCTTTCCTCCCACAACTCTTCCTCCAAGTATAACAACTGATGATTATTTACATAATTCGTCAATGAAATCGATCAGATGAAAAATTCTCATATATTAGCGATAAATAACAAATGCGAATGCTGTAACATATTTTGGTAATATGTTTACTTATGCGAAAGTATAGGAATTATGAAACATTAAAGTTAATAATACATTCTAAGTTTTCGTGAGTTAACTTCAACTTTTTTGTTAATTTTTCGTGGGAAGTTCCAGATTAACTTGTTGGAATTACAGCAAGTTAATTTAATAAACAAGAGATAAAAAAATAATATAATACGCATACTATTTGCCACCGGAGAAAGGGAACGAGAGTTCTTCATGGTTGACGAGGAGTGCGAATTTTGCGAAATCCAATATAGCGAGTTTAATGTTAACGGGGTTATAGCCCTGCTGCCGTAGGACTATCTGAATCCGCCAAGCTGATAAGGCGCTTCTCACGATGGCTCACGGAAGAAGGCGGGGTAAACTTAAAGATGAGAATGATAAGCTTACTGATCAAGTACATATTTATATATAAGTTTCCAAAATTAAAAAATGCATGTATATTTGCATAAGATGGACATCGAAGATGGAAATCGATACATATAGCAAGTTCTAGAATTTTTCGATAATCAATAGTTTATGATGAAATTAGATTTCAAAATAGCTGAATAATATAAATGTAAAACTCTTCTACAGTTTTCATCTTTTTTTTTAAAAGCATCATAGTATAAGTTTTAAAATAAAATTTCGTCTGCTTGAATTAAATTGCGTAGTCTATTATTTTGTAGTATATTCCTAAAAGTTAATTA